CCAGGACAGGCTCCAAAGCCACAGAGAAACCCTGTCTCAAAAAAACCAAAAAAAACCAAAAAAAAAAAAAAACAAAAAAAACAAAGGCCTACATGGTGACAGGTAAGCTTTTATTTCATCTGATTTTTTTATGATCCTGTCTTCATTTAGAGTAGAGCCCTCCAGGAGTCTTATTTTATTAAGAGGTTTCAGTTACAACTTAAACTTAATATTTTTTTCTGTTTACAGCAAACAAACATACAAAAAAAATCAGAAAGTATTCCTAAATATCCTACCATTGTTGTTCTATGTTCAATATATAGCTTTTAAAAAATTCCTTATAATCCACGTGAGAAAGTTATAGACTACCATGAATATAAGGTCAATTAAGAGTCTTTTATTTAAGCTAGAGTCTGAGAGCTGGCTTTTGTCACAGCAAACTCTCGGCCCCTGTATTAAACAGAATTTATAAGGACAAAAGACCACAATTGAATCACACCAGGTGCATGCTAGGGGATTTTTTACTTTAAACAAGGGACTATTTCCCAGCAAGGAAAAAGGAAACTGATCTGTTAACATTTGACAAGCATCATTTCATTTCTCAGAAGGGGGAAACTGTTCTGTCTAGCAGGATGTAGTTCTGGGGGGTAGGTATGGAATCAGGATAGCCTGATCTCTCTTAGACCAATTCCCCTTCTCACTTTCCCTCTTTCTTCTTTTGAGACAGAGTCTCATATAGCCCAGGATGGCCTCAGCTAACTGTATAGCTAAGGATGACCTTGGATTTTGGATCTTCCTATTTCCATCTCTCAAGTGCCACAAATATGGGCATGCACCACCACACACAGCCTCTTTGTTTTGTTTTTAGTTTGTTTGTTTGAGACAAGGTCTTATGATGTAGACCCAGCTGGCCTGGTACCTCCCTCTGTAGCTCAAGCTGGCTAATACTTGCAGGGATCCTACATATCTTGGAGTCAGAGGTATGCATCATCATGCCCAGCTAGTATATAGTTTATATTGACATAAACTTTGAACTTCTGTGCTGAAAAAACAACAACAACAGAGGCTGGAGAGATAGTCCAGTGGTTAAGAGCACTGGCTGCTCTTCCAGAGGACCCAGGTTCAGTTCCCAGCCCCAATATGGCAGCTCACAACTGTTTGTAACTACAGTTCCAGGGATCTAACATCCTCACACAGACATGAATGCAGATAAAACACCAATGTACATAAAGCTAAATTCAACCAAAAATCCCTTTTAACAAAGAAGATAAGTATAAGATTATTTTTATAGTTATTTATTTGTTCATCTGTGTGTGTGTGCCACAGTGCGCACCACACGGGGGGATGAGGACAGCTTGTGGGATTTGACTCCCTTTTTCCACTATGTGTATTTTAGGCTATGGACTCTTTGTTTGATTTGTTGAGAGAGGTTCTTTCTGTGTAGTCCTGGCTGTCCTGGAACTCCCTATGTAGACCAGGCCGGCCTTAAATTCACAGAGACCTCCCTGTCTCTGCCTCCTGCGTGCTGGACTTAGAGTTGTGTGCACCATGCCTGGCCTTCAGATGTTGAACTCCTGTTAGATGTAGTGGCAAGCATCTCAACCTACAGAGCCATCTCACTGGCCCCTATTGTAAATTGAACCACAGAAACTCAGACTATCCCCCACTGACCTTTGCAATCCATAAAATTAGCAATTTCTGGGAATAGAAATATTTATGCAAGGTTTGTGGGTATGATATGAAAGACATTCTCTTTCCCAAAAAGGTGACCTTTTGCAACAAATTACTTCTCTCATCAGTGTTAAGGTCTCGGTTAAGAGGTCTAAATAGCAAATGATACAGACTTTGTACACAAGGCTTACATATCATGGAGTTACAAGATGTTCTTATGAGTTTTTAATAATAAATTAATAATTACTAAATTGGAAAAAATTCTAAATACGATTGCCTGAGGAGTAGAGAAAGAGGCATATTGTCTGTTAAAGTTTTTATCTCACTCAAAGATAATAAAATTGTTTCTAAGCCAAGTTCAAGAACACTTTATGCAGAACTCATATTAATCATTGTTGATCAATACTGCTGTTTTAAGAAAGCTTGGGCAGAAACAGAAAATGAAATATAGAGCTTATGTGGGGGAAAATGTGTTTTTAAATAATAAGAAATTAAATAGCTTACTAATATATGCTTACAGACCAACTTATCATGTTTTGTAAAGTTGCAGGAATGGCGATTACACTAAATTGCAGATTAAATGGACTGAATCTGTTTCCCATTTTAACCAAAAACATTTTGAATACGCAACCACGTAAGTTTGATCTCATTGTTCTCGGAGATATGTTTTATGATGAAGACCTTGCAAACACTCTTCATTTGTGGCTGGAGAAGTATTTTTGGACCCACGGAACCCGAATATTGATTGGTGACCCTGGGAGGCCCCAGTTCAGTGGACACAGCATTCAGCATCAGCTGCACCAACTAGAAGAGTACACACTTCCAGAGCCAACTCAGCAGGACAACAATGGACTGACCACAAGTGCAGTGTGGGACTTTCATCCCTGATTTGTCAGAGTGCTTTCAAGTGTTTGGATTAAACTCTTAAAAATTTCCTTTGTGGGACATAGTTTAAAGTGGGGGTCAATGCAGTTCAGTCGGGGTGGGTGGCTTAAGGCTTAAATACCACCACGTGGGCCGGGTTGGTCATTATCTCTAGATATATCCAGTCTCTTAAGTTGTCAGAAAAAAATAAAGACTTAAAAAATATCTATTAAAAAAATCGGGCCGGGCGGTGGTGGCGCACGCCTTTAATCCCAGCACTCGGGAGGCAGAGGCAGGCGGATCTCT